GACTGGGGTCAACGCTGTTCGCTCCGACTCTATAAGAGCTGTCTCTTATACACATCTAGATGTGTATAAGAGACAGGATCTGGACGCTGCGCGAGTACACAACATTAGCATTACCAACCACGGTCAGCCTGTGCCACAAGGAGGAGGGGGGCGCCCGCCATAGATAAGCAACAGGAAGCCTTGGAGGCAGAGAGAGAGAGAGAGAGAGAGAGAGAGAGAGAGAGAGAGAGAGAGAGAGACTTCCCTTCTGGTGTCCCCCCCCCCCTCCCCCCCCCACCCTCCTGCCATGAGTGAAGCCATGGATGGCAACCATTTGTCATATATATATATAATTAAGTTGAGTTTTCTGTATGCAGCACACCACTTTTCGGCCCTCCACACACGACGCAGTGCATCACACTAGTGCGGCATAGGTATGGTTCGGTTTGATGGCTTAATTAGCTCGATTGCTTTAGTTGGTTTGATTGTTGTGGAACTCTGACTGATTCGTTGACTGTGGGACACAGATTTTCTGTTTGTTTTCTTTCTTCTTTTCTTCTTATTGAAGTAGCATGAAGCTGATCTGACTCAATGAGCTGGATTTGCCTCATCGTGTATCGTCACAGGTAAAGAATCAAGTCAAGCTCACCCAAGTGGAAGGACCTGATCCACGGTATGATGATATCTGCTTCAAAGGAGCAAGCCGGTAAGGTTTCATAACTGCTAAGCAAGTTCTTGCAGTCATCAACTATGCCAACTAGATTACATGTACCTAGTTTTTAAAGCTGCAGAAATTCTCTTTATATTATTAATAATATTAAATCTATTATTACATATATTTTTCAATTAAAGAAATTTTCTTTACACTACCGTCTTCCCCTGAACACAACGCCCCCTAATAATGGCTGTACCAGACCGGAAAGATAGCTTGTATACATTCATTATTAGGGTATGTTGTGTTCGGGGGAAGACGGTAGCTTGGGTTTCCAAGAAGTACCAAGGGAAATACACATAGAGAGAAATTGGAGAACCTCTCAAGACCAGGCATTGATGTGTTGAGACACTTCAATGTTTTGACCTCCAAGAATACTGGACCAAAGCACTCAGGCAAGGCGAATGATAACGATCAGCGGATTTAAACGAAAGCCGATCTTGTGACAGTTTCCTGATGTTGGAAGGCCAGCGCGACGCTCCGCATTACACCACTTGTCATCGGATGGTCGCTATCCAAATCAATTTACGAAAAATGTGGATATTAAGGAGTCAGCTGAGGTGCCACGTGTCGTGACGCGTGCACAGTTGCGACCATATCATGACCAATATGATGATATCATACTGAAAACAACTTGCAATCCTTGCATGAATCGCTCAAACATCGGACAAAAATAGAGAGATGTATGGCGAGACGGCAGTTGTATGTGTGTTGCATGTTTACATAGTAGGGGCGATTTAGCATGAACCTGGCCTGTTATTGGAGGTTCATGGCATGGTGCATCACATCAGGAGTGTACAATCACGCTACCAAACTTTTTTTACTTTCTTTGCTTTTTTTTTTTTAATGTGCCAGGCACAAGGCCTCAATAAGCCCCACTGGGCCCTGTTATCGGCCAGGTCGGCCGCCCTAAGTGAAGGCAGGCCCGACCGAGGCCTATTTTGGACTACTACGCAACTGGGGAATTCAGGCAGTTGCGCAGCGCCAGTTGGTTGGAAGCGCCCAGGCCCAGGCTGCCTTTCATTGTATGTAACTGAGGCAGGCCTTGGGCCGGATACACAACATGGACCGAACAAAGGCCGAGGGCAGTTGGGCGCTGGTAACCACCACAGGTCTGGGCCTGTTTCCTTTGGACTGAGGCTCAGCCTCGTGGGGCCTACCGGAAGCTTCTGGGCCGGGGTCCAGTACCACATCACCGCACGCAGCAGCAGGCCACTTTGATATAGGGAAGGGCCTGCCTATGCATTGGACATTCGGGCACTGGCTGCATGCTGCTCAAGTGCTGCTGCGCTAACGCTGGCCAGCGCTCACGCGCTCACGGAAGGAGCAGGCAGCCATAGCCGAGCTGCGCTGCTGTATGCTGGATGGGGCGCATGGTGGTCTTTGGGTGCATGTGGCATCTGTGAGTTGGGGAACGAGGTTGTGAGTGATACGAGAGACATACCTGGTGCTTGAAGCGTACGGCATTGGCCGAGATCTGCTCGTACTACGGGGAGCTGTTGACGCCGTCAGCGGCATTGTAGATAGGCTAGATAGGATCTGCCATCTGTATAGGATATCGACATTGGTTCTTCATTGATGATGATGAGACTATTCCAGCATTGTCAATTATGAGCTTTTGCTGTGCTCTTATTTGGTGGAACTCCTGATGCAATTCTGCTATTGGTTCGAGGTCACGACTATCTGGTCTCATGTGTATGATGCTGTTTGATTTCTGAAGCTCGCAATCGCTCATTTTCCTTGCAATTTGGTATCAGAGCTGTGGTACAGTGCGCTCATCTGGCACTTGTCTTCTGCCTATGCGGTACATACATTCGGTCTGCTAAGTGAGCGGCCGTAGGGAGTGTGTAGTGAGGAGGGCGAAGGCAAGCAGGCGACCGAGGTGGAGAGGGGATCGCCAGGAAGGCTAAGCGGTGAATTTTGGGTGTTCGCAGTGTGATGAGAACTATCTGATGTGCGATTGATGCTGAGGTGGAACGGCGGTGCAATGCTGGTTGTGCCGAAGCAGCGATTGATCATCACAATCAACATCGGGTCATCTGGTGAGAATATCTGTGGTTGGGGGCAGCTGCTTTCAGGTACGTTGCACCTAACCTTATCTACCCTCTTCGACACTTCTTTGCAATGACTTGCTGGTTCCAGGTTGCCTGTAGCCTCTCTCTGACGAGGCTGTACCATAGGTAGGGATAGATTCGTAATTTTGTTTGGCTGATGGCTAACCGAGAGACCTACCTGTAAGGAAAATTTGTGAGGGACATATTTGTAAATATAGGAAACATGGGCCCAGTACTAACTCAAATTTCCTACAGCTACCCTAATTGCGAATAGCAGGCCCGGGCAACCCCTAGGACAGACAGGCCCAGTGGGCCTACGCTGATAGACGGTCCTATAGCCTATAGCCGGGTAGGTAGAGGCCGTAGAGGCCGAAGCAGAAACGGTACCGGTCGGTTAGTTGGTCAGTCGGTCCGGTCTAGGTCGTGTCTAGGCTAGTTTAGATTATAGATAGGATGAAGACTTCGGTCCGGGGCTTTTGGCAGTTGACACTTCGTGGTGGAAGTTGCTGCGCACACGGTATCAGATCGTGGTTGCTGATTTCGGTGTGGGAGACGACAGACATAGCCAGACCTTCGGAGCACTGACCAGACTGGGGTCAACGCTGTTCGCTCTGACTCTCTGGGAGTCAAAGTGGTCTGGGCTATCAGAGGTCTGATGCGTTGGAGCACGTGGTGCACTGCTGACCCTCCTCAGGAGTAGGGTCCCAGTGGCGATGCAGCCATAGCTGCATCTTCTCAGAGATTATCATCGTCTGGACGTTAGCGTTGAGCTTCTTCTTCATCATCTGACTCTCTGGGAGCCTGTTTCACTTTGGCGCAGGTCACTGAGTTGGATGTGATGGTGGCGTGGGGTGTTACCTGGGGTTCTGGTGCTATTTTTAGCTGCTCATTGTGTGTGGGGTTGAGGCGCTTCCCCCTGAGGGTAGCGCAGCAGGGTTCTGAGGTTATTCAGGGAAAACGATGCTCTGAGCTTCATTGATTTCTGGCTGTGATCTCTTGGTTGTCTTCTATGAATGATTTTTGGGACCTGTGTGGAGAGAATTCATTGTGTTGTGTATTCGGTCACTTCGCTCCCCTGAGTCTTCCGCTTCGTTCCTTTTGTTGGGCGGTGTGACACTCCACTACCTCTCCCCTTCCTTCTGTGCATGTATGGGCGTGTATGGGAGTTCCTATGAGTGAGTGTTGATATCATTTCAACAGATAATCATGTTCATAACAGTTGGTATCGGAGCGGATCTGACCCAGACAGTGGCGAAATGATGGACTGAGGCAGCCACACTACCTGAGAGCTTCTGACGTCAAGTTTCATGGGGAAATCGCATCTTCAGTATTGCCCTCAGTAGGGTGTTGGTGAGGAGCGTGTGGAGGCTAGTATGACACAGAGATTGGTGGCGATTCAGTGCTCAGTGGCCTGGGAGGCACCGAGGGGCTATTTTTAGGCCAGGCGTTGACTCTGCTAGTGTAGAGGTACCTGGGGGTATGTCGAGTTCCAAATTCTGGGCCAGATTCAGTGAATCTGACTAGTGGGGGTTAATCACCATATTAAGAGCTTCAACATCACCAAGTTTCAGGAGATTTTGAACGTGGGAGCACCAGGAACAGTGAATTGAACCTTCTGCTCACCCCCCTCCACTTCCCCTCTCACCCTTGGAGCAGGCCCTGCTTGAAGCGGAGGAAAGCTGCAGAAAGGTAGAGGCCCATGTTCAACGGTTAAAAAGGGAGGTGAAGGAAGTTGAGGAGGCCGGCAGGAAGCAGGAAAGGAGGAGACAGTTACGTAAAGACGTTGAGAAAGTTGTTGCCAGTGGTACCTCCAGTCAGTATAGTAAGGATACTGCTGAGTTGGTGCTGTTAACAGACACCCTCAACAGGTCTTACTTTTCTAATTGGGATCAATGGGTCCTCGCTGTAGAGAATCAATGCTTTGCCATCGACCGCAAGGTCGATAAGTTGACAACAAGCCTTGATTCAAAGGGAAAATGGGAAAGAGCAGCAGTAAGAGCTCAGTTAGTCAAAAAGGGAAAGGGAAGGGACGTGCCACTTCCCCTCAGGCCCAGAGACTTAACTTACCACGAGACGTCCATTGGCCAGTCAACCCCATGGATCCTTACACCCTTTCCTGGAGAGCGTTCAGGATCCAGGAGGGGCAGTGGCAGAGAAGGAAGGACCGTGAGGTTTGGTTTCGTTGCGAGGGGGACCACTTTCTAAAAGACAGTCCCCATATGCCTCGCAAGCCTGGATCTAGTTCAAAAAACTAGACCAGCAGAGGGAAGTGGAGCTAGCAGCTCCCTCCACTTGTGTTGATTCAGATTCTGACGAGTCTGAATCTGCATCTACACTCACTCACTCTGTTTGAGTTGCTGCGTCAGGATCCTTTACTTATATGGACCCTGACCTGGATGAGACGTGGCGGGAAGATGACTGTCAGACTTTTGCTGATCTTTTCCTGTCTTTGGAGGAAAAGAAGAAGCATAAATCAGACCTCATCTTGCTGCGACCCTCTATCCTGGGAGCCAGGATCAAAGGCTTACTAGACTGTGGGGCCACACGAAACTCCATCTCTCCCAAGGCTGTCAATAAGCTGCATCTGGATGGGAGATTGGTGAAGTTGCAGCAGCCGCTGGAAGTCCGTATAGGGGACTCTTCCACAGTCCGGATTACCACCGTTGTCAAGAACCTACCGGTTATCTTTGATAAGCAGGAGAAGGTCAGGCAGCGCCTGATCTTGTGTTCTCCATGCAGTGGCTAGAGGCCACTAACCCTAGGATCGACTGGCATATCCCTAGGGTAGAGCTTCCTGACAATAGAGGGGACTATCAACCTTGTGTCCTAAGTGATGAGTACCACCCAGTCAACAGTTGCTATTGTCTGAGGGCACACGAGTTCTTTCAGCTCTCTCGCCAGACTGCCCACCCAGTCAACAGTTGCTATTGTCTGAGGGCA